ATTTATTTCTAAGATTTATTTCAGGTATTTCATACAAGTAACTTTAATTATGTAATATTTACACTTTAAGCATAAAAAAATATTTAAAAATTTTTAAATGCATCGTTGCTAATCTGAGTCGTCAACGCGCAACTTTAATATATTTTTGCTTTTTCATGTACATTATATCATGTGACTCTTGAACTCAATTTTATTGTATTAAAATTGTAATAAAATTATTGTTATATTTCGCCAATGCATTTATAAACAACAAATCTATCAATAAAAAAAATTGGATTATCGCAAGAGGAGAAGAAAATTAGAGAAAATTACGAAAACAAACAATCATTTTATTTTATTAAAAATCCCCGGTTTTATCAAAAATCCCCGAAATAGTGTTATAAATCAGATCGCAGTAAATTTTACAAGAGAGTAGTTGCAAACTCTATGTATTACAGAGTACATATTAGCGCTGACGACACTGATTGTCAGCGTCCCGGCCCATGGAAAATATTTAATGTCAACAACTTTTTTTTCCCCGGTTGCGAGCTCAGCTTGACCTCGCGCGCGCGGCCTCGTAATGCACGCGCAAGAAGCACGTATTACGTCTAAGGTATAAACTTACCCCAGATGTGATTGGCGCACATGTTCCTCGATACACGCGACGGTCGCTTTGATTTCCAGGCAGCCTGGCCAAGTGCACTTGAAGACCACTGCCGCATTCGCCTGAAAGCAGAAAGGTGATGGGGCCATGAACAATCATCGATACGAGCGGTGTGCACTGGATGTGGAGATTGACTGGACTCTGCGAACGTCTGAATTTCGCGAAAGAGGACGAAAGGGAACGGGATAACGGACGACTGCGATTTATTTTAACGAATAATTCTGTCGTACATCGTCCCGTAATGCACCGATTGGTGCGCCGGGATGCACTCGCGCGTGAACGCACGCTGGCGGCAGGGCTGCTTTAACCATCGAGTTGAATGGACAGTAGCCGTTGATTAACCACCCTCTGAAACGCCAAACGTGACATTTTCCGGTGATCTAGTTCGCCGTTCAAATAAATAATTGTTCCTTTTTTATTTTCCTAGTTAGGAGTTAAGTTAAGTTCTTTCTCTCTCATAAGTTCTCTCTTCTCAATTAAGCCCGCGTCCACTTATTAGAATAAATTTTTAAGTTTTGTCTCTTTATTTTACTATAACGCCAATACTGTGTAATTCATCGGAAGAAAATCCTCCGTTTGACATCATCCCGGTATTGATGTCATCTTCAACATTTCTCCGTAATTATTTACGCCTCTTTGTATTTCAATTGTCATCAAGCGGAATCATTATCTATGCACGATTGCGACGAGACATCTCGCTAATTCGCAAGCGTCTTAAGACGACCCTGCGTCGGAGTCACGCCAAGCCGAGCCGTGCCGGAGAGGAAAATCGATGCCGTGCCGGCAGCCAGCGGCCGCGCCGCGCGCACGTTTCTTTGTTTACATCGGCCAGCCGGCGGCGGAGGCGCCGCGCTGCGCCGCGCCGCGCCGGTCACGACGATACGGTCACGTGGTATTGATCGCGAGGAGAGCGAGGAATACAAGCCCACGCGATCCGCGATGATCGCATGTTTGAGCGCGAAGGATGGCGACGCAACGCGAAACTGGCATCTCTCACGAGCGAGCGAGGTCTCATGTCGCGCACGCGCGCGCGCGCACGTTCCCATCTTCACCTGTATGTAATCGCTTTCTATCCGAGTGACGATTACCGTGGACGATACCCGGATCTCTCTTATCCCCGGATGCGCGTTCAACGCGGATAGAATGACGATTGTACCCGTTCGTCCGCCCAAAGGGGATTTGGAGTACATTTACGAACGGATTAGCCGTAGCTTTAATCATTTGATGGCATTTTCAACACAGCTACAACGACTTAAGCGTAGACGGTAAATTGAGCGCTGCTGTGGAACGGACATTGAAATCGGATTTCAAAGTTTTTTATCATTAATGAGTTTCTATGTTTACTCAAATAATAACGCATACCGAAAATCGATCTCGCCCCTTTCTCAGTATTACTCCGACTCGTGTGAGTCTACGAATTTGAGGATGCTGATGCAACTTGGCGAGTATCGGACGTGGCTGATCACTTATCAACGGTCTCACGATCGTTGAGCGGTGAACACACGCAACATTTTCCAACATAACAGCCTGAACCAAGAAGACAATCATGATCTCGTTAATGCGCCGCGATGAGGGACGCCCCATCAAAGCATTCCGGATTAATAAGCCGTCGGGCCGCGGCGAAAATAATTCCTTTAAGTACGCATTCGCGCGATAGCACGTCGCCAGGCCGTTTGGTCTAAGCTAATGAGCGCATGAATATTTACGAGTGACTTTAACGACTGCACTTAAAACACGATCTCGGAAACCGCACCGCATCGCACCGCACTACGCCGCATCGCGCCGCGCCATACCGTAGCGGCAGTCGATCGCTTCCCTCAATTTTGCGCGGCTCGGCTTACTACGCGCTATTAACGCTCGCCTCTTTCGATTCTCACGCGGCATACCGGGTGTCGTGACGGAATGACAACGATGACAGAGAGCGACGGGGTTGACAAGCGGTCGCGCGCGTATCGCGACTGAAAAGGCGCGCGCGTGATTTGGAGCGGCGGGAGGTTTCGGTAGCGGGTTTTAAGGGTCTCCCTAGTGCAGTGACATCAGCTTCGCCGAAACGGTACACCGGGGAGATATAACCGGTGTGCGTCGCACGATATATACCGGGTGGCGAAAGAACGGCAACCGGGAGCCATCAAGCGTTTCGCGCGCGTATCGACGAGCGTCCGTAAAAGACAGCGTCTGACAGGTGACGACGTGTGCCGTTTGGGAGGAGGCGGTTCCGACGATTTCGGGAGATCCCACGATGGTCATACGTGACATCGTCTTTGAAACGGGTACAAATGGCGGGTACACGCCGGAACGGCGTACGCCGCGGCACAGCCATTGCCGAGGTCACAGACCTTCTATGCCGGTCGGCAGGCAACGCTCTCCCTTTGCCTTGCCTTGCCCATGCCTCTCGGCGTTGGTTTGGCGTGTTCCGGAGAACTTCGCAGCAGTCCTTCTCCCTACTATCCTCCCCCCCCCCCTTCTCCGCGACCTTTAGAATACGACGCGGTAATACCAATGGCATTAGTCTAGAGGGCACCACGTGTCCCGGTGAGCATCTCGCGTGCGCGATAGCGGCCACTGATCGGTGCAGATTTATTCTCTTGGATATTCTATCCGCGCGAAAGACAATGCGCCGACAAGTATGACGATATATTTTCCTAAGATCAAACATATGTCATATGTAGCATTTTTTTGCATCCATAACATTACTACAGAAATCGTGGATGTAATCGATGTTGTTTATCAACACGCGGGATTATTGCCGGGATTTATCATCTTCACGCATGTGTTGACTAACTGTCCTCTATACCGGGTGTCCGATAATAAACCAGTAAATTCGAAACGATGATATTCTGTAATGAAAAATGGGACGATTTTGTTTGAGAAAAAAAAAAAGAAAAAGACATCAGGACGTATATATCAAACGCGCTTATTATTATCGAACGCTTCGTATTGTGCGCACACGCACCATGCGTGACGCGCGCTAGACACGGCACGCCAACGTAAAATTCGATCGAGGGGAGGACGCCTTCGCAAACGTCCGTGAGGCACAGCACGATCGCGAGATGAAAATCGGCCGTGCTCCCGATCCTTTTCTCCGCGGCGTAGCAGCAAAAGCGCGGCGCAGAACTCGCGGTGCCAGATCTCCCGCGCATTCGCGTGTGCGCGAATATCATCGCGCGCTCCTCCGGACGCGCGGGGATGAGTAAGCCGACGCGGGGTTGCCGCGGTGCGGCGCGGAACGGCGCGGCGCGCGGCGTTTCGTGGGCGCATCGCGTGCGATACGACGTTGCCGGCGGTTAGAGATAGCCGTGGCCCGTTGGGGATGCATACGCATCGGCCGGCCGCATCGGAGAGCGCGCGCACCGGGCGGGCATCCACCCCTACCGGCGCTCGTTCGCGCGGAGTCGACCGCGCGTCTCTCCCCCTGCGCTCTCTCACTACTTTTGTGCACTGCGCAACGGCACGCGCGCGCTCGCTCGCTCGCTCGCTCGCGAATCCGCCTGTGTGTGCGTGCACACGCGCGCGCGTCCTTGTGCGTGAAGATTCGAAAGAGGAGCGCCGTACAAAAATTACACGCACGTGTTATCCCGGCGAGACGTTCCCGCGTCGTCATCGTCGCTCGGAGCACTTTGATGAGCGACGCGTGAAAATTGTTGTTAAATCGTTTTGAAAACGGAGACGCGGCCGATGAAACGAACTTTCGTGATTCGCCCCGCAGGAATGCGCTGGAAGTCAACGCCCCGAAGTTCGTTAGAGTGAATGGACCTCGGAATCGCTCGTGCGTGCGCGTTCTTTCGAGCGAAAAAACTTGACTTGCAATTCTATTTTCGCACGTTTCGATTGTATTGATGATTAATCATAATTCGCTCACCTACACACCGGCGGCACGCGGACCCGATTACCAAGGCCGTTCTTGCATGCGTTCTTGCGGGTTACAACCTCGTCGCGTAGCGTGTTGCTCGCAAATCGAACGTTACGCGTACGGCACCGAGAGAGCGCGAGCGCAAAAATCGATTCCAAACGCTACGACAACCAGCTTTCCACGCGGCCTCCTCCCGCTAGCTTTCTCCGCATTAGTCAACTCATGTCGTGTCGAGCCGCCGGCTATTGCACAAATGTTGCGCGTGGCAGGGCTATATTTTCCTATACGTCACTACCTTTCCCACGACTACTGAGATTTTCACATGCAAACCGTTTTCCTCTGTTGAATCGTGACGAATGTATCTCACCAACCCAGACGTATCAATTCGGTTGTTTAATGACAAATGCTGTCGCGAGTTCTGCTACTTGAACAAAAAAATGCATCATCATTTATATCCTTTCTGCCGGACGCAACTTGAAATATAAATATGTATCATGATGCTGATTGAAATGCACAGATTTTTATTTTCGTCTC